CTCGGGCAACTATCAATGCCGGGCCAGCAACACGGTGGACTCCCTGGACGCCCAGGCGACGGTGCAGGTGCAGGTGCCGCCGAAGTTTATACAGGCGCCACGCGACAAGACCGCCTCCGAGAAGGAGGTGCTCAACCTGGAGTGCGCCATCCACGGCAAGCCCAAGCCGACCATACGCTGGCTAAAGAACGGCGACCTCATCACGCCCAACGAGTACCTGCAGTTCGTCAACGGGCACAATCTGCGCATTCGCGGACTGCTCTACTCCGATGCGGGCATGTTCCAGTGCGTCGGCACCAATCCCGCCGGCACCGTTCAGGCGTCGGCTCGACTGCGTGTGGTGCCGCCAGGAGGTAAGAGACCCATTGCCAGCCCCATTGTATATACATACGTAGTGGTAGACTCTACTTGCTTGGTGTCCAGTATTTTATGCTCCAGCTTACGCAATCGGCCCTCTAACTGTATCATAAAACACACTTACCGAAATTAACGCCGCTCCCCGCTCCCCGCTCCCTCGAATTCCCTCAGCTCTTGTAAAATAATTTCATGTGTTTTGTATATAATCAATATAACATATATATATGTGTGTGTGCGTATCTATTTGTATCTATGTGTTTTGTATTGTTTCTAAATATAAGTTACCTTCATTTAAACAAGTAATTCGCTTTTGCCCTGAAATATAACCTCTAGAGATAGATGATAAAGGCTTTGTAGCTACCTTGTAATATAGTTGGTCTATAGTTTGATCCTTTATGATATCAAAAGATGCTCTGGCGCATTATCAATATCATATATCAAATTTTCTGTAAAATCTGAGGTTTTAATGTCACTTTTAAATGTCAGAATATTTGTTCATTCAGATGAAGTAAAGTAAAGGATCAGAATTGCATTATATGGACTCAATATTTATTAAAGTCTTAAAGTTTATTTAATAGACTTCAACTACATAAAGTGCTATAGGTAAATTTTCTAGACTTTTATGACTTTACAATGTGAGATTCAAAATATTATAACGATTTTTATATAGAATACATTTTAAACTTCCTTAAATATTAATTTCTTTGATCAAATCTTTCATACTCTTTCAAATAACTAGAACTGGTCCACTTAGAATTCCACTTATATTCTTATCAGAAGCTAATATCTTCCTTCCCATCTTAAGAACTTGATACTGAGAACTCTGTACAAATACGAAGCTATCTATTCTATCTCTTGCATATCTCCTGTTTACTATTCCTTGGATAACATTTTAGATTTCCTCTAGGTAATATTTGATTTTTCGTATCCCAACTCCCGCGTGGGCAGCCAAAAAGCGAATTAAATTAATTTCCCTATGATTTTATTAATTAATTTATTAACTTATTGTTTATTCACTTGCTTTTTTTCCACTCCCCATCATTATTTCCATCAACCGTTTATCGAATCCCTCATTATCCCATCCAAACTCCTGCCCATCCAAAGCCAAAATCAAACAACGTAAACATCAAGGCTACACAACCAAATCCCTGCACAGTTCCGACAACAACAACAACTACAGCAACAACAACAACAACAAACGACGACGACCTTTCAACTCGGCTGAGCTGCGCACAAAGGCAGGTGGCAACAGTTACTTAGACTTGGACAGTGACGATTACAGCTATGCGGATGAGAAATCCGCTGAGATTCCGTTGCGCAAATTTACGCGTCCCATCGAGCAGCCGCTCAACGATCGCAACTACGGGGCGGGCGAGATCAGTGCGCTGCGGCGACAGAACGGGGACTCGGACGACGACCTTGACGATGAGTATGACGATGCGAGTGCTGATAAAATACTGAACTCCTGGCAGCATAAGAACAAGCACCAACAACAACAACAACAGCAAACACAACAACAACAACAACAAATGTCCCCCACATCCAATTTTGCCTCAACAGATTTAAGCGCAGGCGAGGAAATTCCAAGCGATGTGAAACCGCTGAGCAGCGGCCTAGTGGCCCGCCTACCGAGTGCCCCGCGCAACCTGGTGGCCCAGATTGTGAAGCCCCGCTTCGTGACGCTCAGCTGGCAGGAGCCGCTGCAGAACGCCAACGAGGTGGTCTCCTACACGGTCTTCTATCGCGTGAGCAACAGCGAACGGTAAGTCGGCATTGGATTAGACACGAGTTTACTCACTCATCGACTCATTCCTTTCACAGTGAGCAGAAGATCGTCACCCAGTCGCACGAGGATCAGCAGGTGAGCATACAATCCCTGCTGCCGGGTCGCACCTATCAGTTCCGTGTTGTGGCCAACACGAACTTTGGCATCGGTGAATCCTCGCTGCCCCTCGAGGCGAGCACCCTGCCCGAGGTGAACATCGCCGGGCCGCCACGCAACGTGGACGCCTATGCGCGCAGCCACAAGGAGATCTACGTGCACTGGCAGCCGCCCACCGTGACCAACGGCGAGATACTCAAATATCGTGTTTACTACTCCGAGGTAAGCACTCCGAGTCCTTAACCATCTGTCTGCCAGCTACTCACCATTCGCATCCTTTGCAGAACGACAGCGGGGCGGATCGATACAATGACAGCATGTCGCTGGAGCTGCTGCTCACCGATCTGCGTCCGTATACGGACTATGTGATCAGCGTGGTGCCCTTCAATCGCAACGGCATGGGCGACTCCTCCGCTGAGCTGAAGGTGAAGACCTTCTCCTCAACGCCCTCGGAGCCGCCAAATAATGTCACCCTAGAGGTGACCAGCTCGAGCGTAAGTAACTCTAGCAATTCTCCATCATAGAGCTAGACTAATTTCTCGCTTTGCCATTCACAGTCCATCACAGTGCACTGGGAGCCGCCCGCTGAGGAGGATTGCAATGGCCAGATAACGGGCTACAAGATACGCTATCGCAAGCTGAAGGATGCGCCCCAGGCGAAGAGCACGCCCGCCAATATACGCTACTTTGAGCTGAACTCGCTGGATCGCAATGCCGAGTACCAAGTGAAGATTGCGGCAATGACTGTCAATGGATCTGGCCCGTTCACCGAGTGGTATCGCGCGACTACGCTAGAGAACGATCTGGATGAGACACAGGTGCCGGGCAAGCCCGTCTGGATCAATATACAGCCAGGCGCCGATAACATTGGACTGCACTGGGGTCCGCCGCAGCAGCCGGAGATCAAAATACGCAACTATGTGCTGGGCTGGGGCCGTGGCATACCCGATGAGAATACCATTGAGCTGAAGGAAACGGAACGGTATCATGTGCTCAAGAATCTGGAGTCGAACATGGAGTATGTGGTATCGCTGCGCGCACGCAATATAAAGGGCGACGGCCCGCCCATCTATGACAACATCAAGACCCGCGACGAGGAGCCGCTCGATGTGCCAGTGCCGCTGGAGGTGCCAGTTGGACTTCGCGCCATTACCATGTCCAGTTCGTCGATCGTCGTCTACTGGATCGACACGATGCTGAACAAGAACCAGCATGTGACCGACAATCGCCACTACACGGTCAGCTACGGCATCACGGGCTCCAATCGCTATCGCTACCACAACACGACAGATCTGAATTGCATGATCAACGATCTGCGCCCGAACACGCAGTACGAGTTCGCCGTTAAGGTGGTGAAGGGTCGGCGCGAGTCGGCGTGGTCCATGTCGGTGCTGAACACCACCTATCAGAATGTGCCCGTTACGCCGCCGCGGGAGGTCAGCGTGCGGCTGGACGAGCAGAATCCGCACAATGTGATCGTACAGTGGCTGCCGCCCAAGCACACAGTTGGCCAGATAACTGGCTACAATGTCTACTATACGACAGACACGACGAAGCGGGACCGGGACTGGGCGATCGAGGCGTTCGCTGGGGATGAGACGATGCTCATGCTGCCCAACCTGAAGCCCTACACCACCTACTACTTCAAGGTGCAGGCGCGCACCACCAAGGGCGGCAACAATGCGCCCTTCTCGGCCCTAACGGCATTCACCACCAGCGCAGCGGTCATCATGCAGGAGGCGGACACCATTGCCAAGGGCATCGACAATCAGAATCTGCTGTACATCATCATTGGCAGCACTATTCTGGTGCTCGTCCTCTTGCTCTTGGGTCTGCTGCTCTTCTGCCGGCGCAAGCCGCAATCCTCGCCAGAGCACACCAAGAAGAGGTGAGACAGCTTTATATCTATTTCTCAACCCTAATTAATTACTTTAATTTCTTGAATAGCTATCAGAAGAACAATGTGGGCGTGCCCAAGCCCCCAGATCTATGGATACATCATGATCAAATGGAGCTAAAGAACATTGACAAGGGACTGCACTCTGCCACGCCCGTCTGCAGCGACAACGCCTCCAGCAGCGGCGCCCTGACCCTGCCCCGCTCTGTGGTGCACAGTGAATACGAGGTGGACACGCCGGTGCCACCGCACGTGACCAACTCCCTGGACAAGCGATCCTACGTTGCCGGTTACATGAGTGAGTCGAATCGAATGGAATTCCCCTCTCATCCCAATACTTATATCGCTTTCGTTTTCCACACTAACAGCCACCTCAATGAACTCGACCATGGAGCGGCCTCAATATCCGCGCACCCAATACAATCATCAGAATCGCTCGCACATGACCATGGACACGGGTCTCTCCCAGCAGAGTCTCACCCAGCCGCAGAACAATTCGCTGGCCCAGACGCCGGAGCATCCGTACGGTGGCTACGATGCCAACTTCTGGTAAGTGCTGGGATGGGATCTGTCCAAGATAATATATCGATAAGGAAGTTCTGTAAGCAGAGCCAGAGATATTCGTTAGTTCAAGCCCATCTCTGGAGCTCCATGAAGACTCCAGTATCCCATCAGCTTCCATTTTGTTTTCCTTCTCTTATTTACGTAAAAATCTAAACATTTCTATCAAACCTTTTGGACCTGTAGGAGGCTGTATGATTCGATTTTTGAATATTTCGATCTGTTCTAGTAAATTATAAACAAAAAATTCTTTCACATTATGGTCGGTAGACTTTAAAACTCCAAAAGCAATTAAAAGCAAACAAATAAACCAAAAAAAAAAAACTAAAAACTAAAAAAAAAAAAAATACAAAAAAAAGCTGAGTAAGAGAAGAATGTGCAATCGAACACGTTGGGGGCGCATCGATCCCAGTGTTCAGATCGATCTGGTGCATGGCCCCACTGATCGTGTGCTCCAGCTGGACCATCGAACGTTGCCGGGCTATGTGGAGCAGCAGCTGCTGTTGATGGCATCGCCATTGCCGTTTCTCAATTTCCTGAACAAGTTTCGCCTGGACGAGATTCTGATTAACCATCAGCTGAAGGGCGTCTACACAATGCGCACCGCGGCAACGGTCACCGAGGTGGCAACGCATGCCTGGCGCATCATGAGCACGGCTGATCGCCAGCCGTACATTCAGCTGGCCCGCAAGGCGGAGCAGATACAGCAGTCGCGCGTCCTCCACTTTTTGGGCAAAGATTGCCGACGACGCATGAAGCCATAGTTGCAATGTTTTTCCATGTCCCAGCGTAATACGTTCGATATGTTTCTCTCTTGATAAAAAGAAAAGAAAAAGCAGATAAACAGATAATCAGAACAAATGTAAAAACTGGTTGATTGATTTTTGCTCCTTCCTCTGCAGCGGCAATGCTGGTTATGCCGGCGGGGCGCAGGGCGGCACAGGCGCTGCTGGCAATGGCTGCGTGTCGACCATCGAGAGCGCCAAGCGTGGCCATCCGCTCAAGAGTTTCAGTGTACCGGGACCGCCGCCCACTGGCGGTGCCACGCCCATTACCAAGCACAGTAAGTACCAAGCTGATTCCCGCTGAACTCCAGTTAATTCTCCCTCTCTCTTTCTCTCTAGCTCCTGCTGTCACAATACGTCCACAGAATCAATCGCCATACAAGAAGCCCTCATTTTCGGCAGCCACGCCCAATCGTTTGCAGAGCGGCGGCTCTGTGGCGCATTCCACCGACGAGATACAAAGACTGGCGCCCAGCACATCCACCGAGGAGCTGAACCAAGAGATGGCCAATCTGGAGGGCCTGATGAAGGATCTTAGCGCCATTACGGCCAACGAGTTCGAGTGTTAACACCGAAGTCCAATAGGCCAATAGTATTAGCTTGGTTCTAGATAACAGAAACAAGAAGAAGTAGAAGAAGAACAACAACATCAACAGCAGTAACAATTCGGAATGTTAATTGTTTTTTTAATTTTAGTTGACTTTTAGTTTTTTAATTTAAGATTTTAAGTTAAAATAGTTTCTTTTTAGTTTCGAGCTTAGCCTTTAGTTGCATGTGCGATATATGAACGAATAGAACTGTAAATACAAGCGACGCCATATACACATTTAATTATACGTATAAATATACATATATACATACATAGGTATATGTTAGCCTAGTTAATTTTAAAGCAATTCATGTGAAGGAACTCCTCCTCCCAATGCTGTGCACAGCCAGTGGAATATTTATTGATGGAAACTACTTTTAAACATATATATACTCCATATATCGATTCATTAACTATATAACTATAAAAAAAAAAAAACAAACAAAAACAACTAACGAAGACATCAACAATGAAAACATAGTTTAAGCCCAGTCTCTTCTAGTATCTACAAATAATCTAAAATCAAAAGAAATCGTAAGACATTCGATTTATATGTATGTGTAGCCTATGTCTATTCTGTACTCATTTAGTGTTCGACTTTGAGACGTGCCATTTGATTATATTATTTTTCCGTTATCCTACTTTCAAATTTTCATTTGTTATCACTCCTAGCTTAAGCCCGCTAAAATCATACATTCTAGACTGTAATCCATTAGTAAAGCCAGCCAAGCATTTACGCATTTATCTAACTATATGAATACGCATATACATGTAATGATATCTATATAAGGATTCTGACTCTTTTGTATCGTATTTTGATGTGTTCAAAATTCAATGCCTAAAAGTGTTTGTATTCTACTTTTCTGCCGCATCTTCATATTTATTGTAAGGCAGTTGAACGAAATTGATCTGAAATTTTCATCAAATTGCTATGCACAATAATCTCAAATCTTAACACGACTTAAATGCACAGATATTTGTGTTTACATTTTATTTGATACCAAATTTTGTAATAAATATGGAACAGATTGTATAAAATGGTCCAATGCCATATTTATTACGATCATCGGGCATTATTCATCCCGCTGAAAGGTTATCTCCACCATTAGTTTCCACACTTTGTTGGTGCCAAAGCGCAACTGAAGCTTGTACTCGCCTTGGGGCAGCGGCAGCGTCTTCAGGAACCCATCTTCGAACACCAAGTTATCCACAATGATATTGTGCTGTGATAGATATTCAGAGCTCTACATTCAAAGACAATATCTATCTCCAAGTATACTATATGCTCTACTCACATTGTAGGGGCAAGTATGATTAACATTGGATCTCGATTGAATAGCTCCCAGCACCAGGTACTCGAATGACAGTTTATTCCGAGCTGCTAAAAGATGACAGAAATCGCAAGTGGAATTGAATAGAAATGGCTGGAAGGTATTATAACGTCGCCAACCGCTCCAGTTGATCTATGAAAAAAATAAAATAAATAAAAATAAATAACGAATAAATAAAAGCAAAATAAAAGTGAATACACGCATTTTTTAATTTAATAGCAAACAGAGAGATTTTTATAGGGTCGGAAGACTTATGAGGAACGATGTGATTCATTTTCGCTATCCTGTGTCCTATAAAAAAAAACAAGGAACATCGTCTTAAGCACTTAATTGAAGAGACACTAGCTCTGATTTTTACTTGTATGGTGCATTTTATATGTAATCCGAGGATTACTTACGAATATATTATCAATCGGCAGCTTCAGCATTAATATAAATACATTGGCGGAGACAACTCCTCTGCCAATGACTTTTAGTTTGCACCTCTCAAACTTTGCAAATTCGGGATCAAAACTGCTGCACTTGAGATTCGTGAATCTGGACCTTCGACTGTTTACCGATGCGAGCATCAGAAGGACTACCGCAATTGACAGAGACACAGTTACTGGCTTCATAGCTTCTTCACTAATGATATAGGGGCTACAGTACTAGAGTCGATCGATGCTAAAAATGATATATAAATTAGTTCCGAATGGTCGATCTTGGAGAACCAAATGATTTATTGAAAAAACTAAAATAATTATCATTAAATCCAGCCTATATTAAAATACACTAAATTTATAATCAATTACTGCTTTTCTCTCTGTCTCTCTCTCGCTCTTTCATTGCCTCTCTCGCTCTCACTCACATTCTTTAATGAGTAATATGGGTAAGATATTCTTATAATAAGATAAGGAAATGATTATCTTGCATATGTTTTTAACAGCTACATAATAATAGGTTCTAATTTAGTCGCCAAATTTTAGGTGAAGGTCGACTTGCTTAGTTAGAGTCCGAATATGGGAATAGCTAGCCAAAGGTAGTATTATAATAATTAACAAGTTTTGATATAAATATAGATAAGTAAATAAACTAGTTTAGCTAGGAATAAAAAAAACTTGGCTATATTGCTGCATCAAGTTTCGAAGTCGAAGCAAATGACTTCTGCAGCATTGTTGCCACAGACTGATATGAATTATAATTTCCAATCAATGTATATTCATTTTATACCCTTTATTAGTGAATGTCTTTCAATATAATGCAGTTATTATAATTATTTGTTGGGATTCCTTATTCATCTCGAAGAATGAACGTTTCAACCATCAGCTTCCACTTTTTGCCAGCCATGAACCGCAATTGTATTTTGTACTCCCCTTGGGGCAGGGGCAGCGAATGCAGCATTTCGTCCGTGAACACCAAGTTGTCCACAATAATATCGTGCTAGAGTCAATAATTATTGGATGGTATAATTGTATATCTTCTATGTGCACATATCCCCAACACTCTACTCACATTAACTGGACACGTGTGGTTCAAGTTGGAGCGTGACTGTATGGCTTTCAGCACCATGGACTCGAAAGTAATCTTTTTTTCCACATTTTTTAGAAGTTCGCATAGATTGCAGCTGGTATTATACAGAAAGGGCTGGTATGTATTGTAGCGGCGCCATATGCTCCAGTTGATCTGAAATTATTTAGTAATGCCAATCAAAATTACCAGATTCACACAAATCCTGAACAATATTTTGATTTGAAAACTCACGTGAATATTATTGATTGGCAATTTAAGCAACGAAATGTATACATCGCCGGCAATTATGCCTCTGCCAAGGACATTCAGCTTGCACTTCTTGAACTTGGAATAACTCTCATCATAGCTGGTGCACTTGAGGTTGGTTAGTCGCGACTTGGATTTCCGGCAGTCGACAGATGCGAGCACCACAAATGCCACCGCGATCAGCAAAGGCACAGTTATCGGTTTCATAACTCATTTACTAATGAAATCGAGCGACCCGTAATTCCTATATAGTTGAAATCATAATCTATTATTCGTTAACGGTTCATTAGTTCCGAACGGACGGTTTCGGTTCATTAAATTGTTTATGATATCAGAAGATATATATATATATATATATATATATATATATATCAGAGCTACATATTTATAATATATAAAACATTAAGTCAAAAGTCATGCATAGCAGTTTATTTAACATAACATATTTAAATTTATCTGCAACGCACACGCATCCCTCCAGATTTTTTGCCAAAAGAATCATAATCAGGTTATGATATGCAAGTAATTTTGAACAGCCTCCACCAACATTAGCATCTATATATTAAAAAAAAAAATAACTAGATATATACAGAAGAGAGCTCTTAATAAGTTGTTAATTTATAGCACAGACTCTTCCTATAGGCTAATGCGAGAGTGAGGCCAGATCATTAAGGTTATTATTATATATTGTATTGTTATTTATTTACATATAAAATTGATTAGCAACTACCAAAATGTTTCTGCATCATAGTCCAAAACAAGAATGTTGCGAAACCTTCAGCAAACTGCGCATGCGTGTTGACATAACCACTTCGCAAGCAGATGTTGCACGCAACAATGTTGCTAGGCTTGTTGGCAACACGAATGATGAATCGTACATCGAAAGCTTTTAAGGAATTTATGGCTATAAATAATTCTAATTTATATGTAAATATTTCATATACTGTGTGAATTCATTTTAATGGACTCTACGTATTTGTAATTAATTACAATTTGTTTAGTTCCAAATGGGCGAGTGCATGGAATGATAAGCATTTGTAATAAAACCGTATAATTTATTATACACCTAATGTGCTAACATTAAAAAATAAAATATATATGAAAACAAAATATATATGCAAAATATATAATATATATAAATTAATATCTAAATACAATATAATATGTATTATACGCAACTGATCGGAATAAAGGTCATATTTTTTTATTTACATATTAATACAGTGACTAACAAGTTCTCTCGTTGATAGATGGCAGCTGCCCATATGTTGCTGCAACATTTCAAGTTAATACGATGTTGCCGAAGCTTCACACGCGCCTTAACATCAGCAGTCATTAGAAAGCAGCTGATGCGACGCAACGATGTTGCCAGCCCAGTCCAGACGGATGCCCAAGAGCCGAGCTTAGCTTTTAACTAGTTTATATCTGGCAGCCATCGAGTGTGCAACGGCCGACGGAAGTTGAAGTTGTCTCCGTGACAAAACGCGAACCGATTCTTGTTATTCTTGCCTTGCCCATGGACAGCTTTAAATAGCTGCGTTTGTGCGTGTGTGTGCGTGTATTTGTTTGTGTGTGTCAACGTCAACGAAAACATTAAGCAATTTGAAATCAACGGCAAACGAGTGAAATCTGATTGGAATTTTAAATACGTCAAAGCTTTTGTGAGCGCAAACAATGAATTCACTGCCCAAATGTCTTTGGCGTGCCAAAGCGACAAACTGTGCCACGCCTGCTTTCAAGCGGACTGCATCTAAAATTGCTGGCGCTCAGGCACCGTTGCTGCAAGGAGATCAACGACAGCGTCGGCTGGATGGACAGCAACAGCAACGCGAGAACTCGGCAGCAGCCGCAGAAGCAGCAACATCAGCTGGAGCTGCAGCTGTTTGTCCACATTTGGGTCTAGAGCAGGAGCCAGCAACTCCACGAATTCACGCCACGGCCGAGTGGCAAAATGCATTGGCCTACAATGAAATACCAGGACCAAAGCCCATACCTATACTGGGCAACACCTGGCGGTTTGTAATAATGAACAAAATGAAAACTAAAAAAGTTTCGACCAAGTTGCTTTCACTTTCAATGAATAGCCTGCAATGCGATCAAACCATTGCACTTCCAACAAATACAAAGACATAGCTAAAGGGAGAGGAGGAGAGGAAATGAGAGAGAGTTTGCAGTTCTTTTGTTTTGTATTTCGCTTGCTTCTCTTGACCCAATTACTGTTGAATGTATTATGAATGAATATGTGTGTATGTGCATGCTTGTGTGTCTGTGTCTGCGTAGCCAATGATGATAATCTTGTTCGAGTGTTGATTTTTGCTTGTAAGCATACATCATTTCACTGACCATGACCAAACGGGTTTCCTCGCTCATTCCCCACCCTAACGGCCATTATGCCACACACAAATACCAAACACCAACATTTTGCGAATTCTTCTGCTTTTATCCAACTTCCCTGCCAACGATCTCCCACTCTCCCTCTCTTTAATAATTTACAGCCACTTTCAAATCACTGTTCAATAAGTGCTATAACAGGGCATTTGGTTAGCAGCAGCAACAGACATACGGCACTGCTGTTAACTGCTTCTTCTTGATTAGCGTTCAATTAGCGCCATTTTCAAGGTCGACAAAATGTTCGAATCTTTCGTTGCAAGCTGAAAATAATAAGCAAACAATAGTGACTTGTGTATTTGTTTATACAGCTATGCGAAAATCCAGTGTATGGGAGTGTGTCTGTGAGTGTGTGCAAAAAGCTGCACTTGGTGATGTCAAGAGAGTAATTGAGCTAGGAATGGCCACTTCGTGTTCAATTGAACATATCGAACATATTGTGTTATCGATAACTTAAAGGAGCAAATTAACAGCCTGTTGCTCATCAGTTCGTTTTTTCAATTTAAATTTACTAAGATAGTTAGACCTGAGGATGTTTGCTAAACCAATGCAAAAGATGTAAAAATCTCTAAAAGGAAGAAAAGAGAGTCTGACGACAATAGATGATATGGTCTATTTCTTAGCATGACATAATTGTAATACATAAACATACATATACTAATACATACTTACATATGTAGGTACATATGTACGTACATACACATAATAAAATAGGTCGTAAAAGTATTGATATAGCGACAACAGACGATTATCTTTGAACAATTGTCAAAGGTGTCATGAATTACTTTGAAAATAGTCTCTTCTTTGCCATATTCAATGTCAGTTAGTCATTTCAATTATCTAATTTTCACCTTGACAGCCTTATGCCAATTATTGGCCAGTATACCATATCGGATGTGGCCAAAATCTCATCGCTGCTCCACGACAGGTACGGACGGATAGTACGTTTCTCCGGTCTTATAGGCAGGCCCGATCTGCTCTTCATCTACGATGCTGATGAAATTGAAAAGGTAGGCACAGGTAGATACACACGGCTCTAAATGCCGGAACACACCACCAAACCTAAGCTTGCTGACACGCTCGACTGGGCACCGAGGCAACAAAGCAGCACGACTTCAAGTACAGCATAATTTGTGACGTACGGGCTGCAAATTGCCGCCAACAACTTCAATGTCTGAGCAAATATTAATAAAGATTAAATGATTGCAGTGCTACCGCAGTGAAGGACCTACGCCTTTCCGGCCCTCGATGCCCAGTCTGGTCAAGTACAAGAGCGTCGTGCGCAAGGATTTCTTTGGGGAACTTGGCGGCGTTGTGGGCGTGTAAGAATACTTATAAATATACATGTCTAAGTATAGATATAGCTATACCAACCTGATCTTAAATAGTCACGGCGAACCATGGCGTCAGTTCCGTTCGCGTGTGCAGAAGCCCGTGCTGCAGTTGTCTACCATTAGACGCTATCTGCAGCCACTGGAGGTGATTACGGAGGACTTTTTGGTACGTTGCGAACAGCTGTTGGATGGCAACGAGGAGCTGCCCGCTGACTTTGACAATGAAATCCACAAATGGTCCTTGGAGTGTGAGTGTTGCCGAATAAAAAGATCTCTCCCAGATGACATTAACTTGCCCCTTTCACAGGCATTGGTCGTGTGGCTCTAGACACGCGACTAGGTTGCTTGGAGCATAACTTGACGCCAGATTCGGAGCCCCAGCAGATCATCGATGCAGCCAAATATGCTCTACGCAACGTGGCCACGCTGGAACTGAAGGCGCCATACTGGCGCTACTTCCCCACTCCACTGTGGACGCGTTATGTGAAGAACATGAACTTCTTTGTGGGGTTAGTAGCCAGACCAAGCAAGCTTAAAATACGCTAATCCTTTTTATCCCTTTGCAGCGTTTGCATGAAGTATATACAAAGCGCAACAGAGCGCTTGAAGACACAGGATCCCAGTCAACGTGCAGGCGAGCCGTCGCTGCTGGAGAAGGTGATTATGTCGGAGAAGAATGAAAAGATAGCCACCATTATGGCATTGGATCTGATACTCGTTGGCATTGACACAGTAAGTGGAGTAGATTTCTCTCTATCCAGCCAAACTAAAAGTTAGTCCATCTCATAGATTTCGATGGCCGTGTGCTCTATTCTATACCAATTGGCCACACGGCCCATGGAGCAGCAGAAGGTGCACGAAGAGCTGAAGCGTCTGCTGCCGGATGCTAAGACTCCATTAACGATTCCACTGCTAGACCAAATGCACCACCTAAAGGCATTCATCAAAGAGGTCTTCCGCATGTACAGCACGGTTATAGGCAATGGACGCACACTGCAAGAGGACAGCGTTATATGTGGCTACCAGGTGCCCAAGGGTGTACAGGTATATCAGTTCCGATCTACTTTATACTCTATATAATATGACATTTGAATTCCAGGCCGTATTCCCCACAATTGTCACTGGCAACATGGAGGAATATGTTACAGATGCAGCCACTTTCCGGCCCGAGCGCTGGCTGAAAGAGCATCAGGGCGGTACTCCAGGCAAACTCCATCCATTTGCCTCATTGCCCTACGGCTATGGAGCCCGCATGTGTCTGGGTCGTCGCTTCGCTGATTTGGAAATGCAAATATTGCTAGCCAAGCTTCTGCGCAACTACAAACTAGAATACAATCATCCGCCATTGGACTATGCGGTAACCTTCATGTATGCGCCGGATGGTCCGCTGCGCTTCAAAATGACGCGCATCTAGTTGTTGTTATTACTCTTTTCCATATTTTTGTACTTTAAGGCTTTTTCATATGTAAAATATATATCTTTTGGGTCTCAAAATAAAGAGACCCTGCTGTCCATACTAATGTGTTTAAACCATGATTAATAATTCTTCAACTTGGTTTACGGTAAAGTCAGGGTTCAGCCTCTCAAAAATACCAAAAAATATCTTACAATACATTCATATGAATAGGTTTTTGGTATTTAACAACCCGTCTTTACTTGCGCTTCCACATGCTATACCAATTCCTAACAGTTTTTAAGCTCCGTTCGCCATCTGCTTTGGTTTCTCCCTTCAGCTCGTGCACAATGTCCGATTTATACGATTCCCGCGCCTCTTCCAAGATTGTGCCAAATATTTCACATTGTATATTGGACGTTAGCTTCTTCTCATTGTAGTTGCGTTCCTTGAGTCTGTCGTATAACGTTTTATTGGGACACGTAACAACGAAGACGGCATGGAACCAACGCTCGGGAAAGAAATCACAGCCATGGTATTCAACAATGTTGCCGCCCTTTGCCATTAGCGGCTCAAGATAGTCCATGAGCTACAACGAAGTAAAACTGTATTAGCTACAATTATTAATTTATTTGTGCATATACCTTATCCTCATCAAGTATGGGACAGTCGTATTCTTCATCATATTCCTCAATGAAATTCTTTTCCTTTGCAATTTTCGAGCAATCCAACCAAGTAAACTTCAATTGCTCGGCCAGACGTTGGCACAAATATGATTTACCGGCTCCGGGTGTGCCTGTGCATTAATAGCTTTTCGTTACTTACTTTATGTAGCTAAACAACAGTCATTACCTGTTATTAATATATTAGGCTTGCCTATTTCCGTCATTTCTGATTGTTTATGCTACAAAAAAAGTGAGAAAACTTAAAACGTGAGATTGCCAGGGCTGCAGCATACCGATAACCCAAACTATCGATGATAAACAGAGTAAATTATAAATATACAGCGCGCAAATCGTAAGCATTTGAGCTACAAACATTAGCTTTTCCCCTTTTCCACCTGATTGTAATGAAAATTGTTAACAAATACAATTCGAGTTTAAGTAACTAACATTAATTAGAACAACTATACTTAATAATTAATTTTGATTAAATCCTAGTGGAGTTGTGACATTGCCTGTCAAAACTACATACATACATATGTACATACATACATACTATGTATTTGTATTCGCTTTGCTCTACTTTTGACATTATTTTGAATTCCTCTTTAACAGCACTCATTAGTCACAGATGCATGTGCGTATGTATGTATGTATCTAGTCTCTGAGAGCTCTCTCTTCCTTTTCATCCATCACTCACATACACCTACAGAACTGGGATAGCGAAGTTCAATTTAATTCGGTAGCTCGTAGGCAGCGGATCGCCTTTTTCTTAGCTTAATGGTACTTTTTGTATGAAATGCCAAAACCAGAGGAACTTGATCAAGCCGAGAAGCAAGGCTCAAATTTAAGCGAAGTGAAAATAGATCCACAACGCCGTCAGCATGTCCCTTATATATTGAACGGTGAGCTTTATCGCATTGAAAGTCAAGTTGGGGACAATGTGACCGTCAAGTGTTGTTCTTGTCCGCCGGATCGAATATATCGGGGCAGTGTACGTTCTACGGGAAATTTTCACATGCATATCAAGGTAGGCCGAGAGATACAAGAATTTGCAAATTACCGAGCAGACCAAAGCTAAGCAAACAAGTGTTAAAATTTCATTGCAAATATTTAATAGCGGAGGCATGCATCTTTGCTGGGCAAATTGCATGAAATGAAGGTTGCAGCATTGGTAGAACGGCGGGATCGTATTATGAAAAACCGACGCATTGCTAAATGTCATAAAAAATCCACACCGTCGGTCGCTGTTTCAGCCTTAGCTGCAATTACCGACGCCTCGTCAATAGAAGTGCCAAAGAGCGCAGAGACACACGAGCTTAAAATTAAAACGGTATTTCAACGACACAAGCAAGAGCATCACGAACAGGAGGAAGCAGCGGCCATACGAACAGTAAGAGAACCTAACAAAAAAATGTTTCGTCTTTGTTTAACTGTGTAAGCGTTATGAGAGCGAGTGAGAGCACTGTGTTAGTGCAGCTATGTACCGTTATAATTTCACACATGTATTAATATTAATACATAATATGTAAAAGAAAAGATATAGTGTGACGGACATTCTATACATACATACATATGTATTTACATGCATGTATCTGTAACAAGCACATAGTTGAATGATTAGCGAGTGTGAGTGAGTGTAGTAATTTCGTATGTTGTGTGTGTATTTGTACATAAGTATATTATGCGTGTATGTACATAAACACACATACTAAATAGCATTTTTGCACTCTGTTTATCTCGCTTTTAAGTCGATTTCAATCAGCGATTCGTCGATGGACAATAGCCAGAGTTCTGAAAAATTATCCGATACGGCCTCAAATCAAGACAATAATAATAACAATAATCTTAATTCAACGCAAAATAATAATAATTCAACTTCTAATAATAATAATAATTCAACTCATAATAATAATCATATTCAAGGTGTACAAAGTGTAAGTAAACTATACAAATTTATACTATGTATACTGACTATCAACTATGCTCTTTTGTAGCCATCAACTCTAAGTTCAACAATGTTTTGCCCCACATTCGTGCCGAATCCTCAGATCAAACATGCAATTGACTTTCCAGCCATGGTTAGCATACCGCGCATGCTTCCCATCAATGCGATTAAGCCGGAGCAGCAGCCACAGGCTCTATACGAGCAGCCGGAGGCGATTGATCTCAGCAGAAGGTCATCGATGCAAAGCGATGACATGGTGCATGGACGCTTCACCCAGGAGGTGCAGAACGTACAAATTGGCGTATCGCCTGGACAGGAATTAACTCCATTCGTTAACGGACCTCCACGCGATATTTTGAAGCGCATTGATAACACTTTGGCCGATATTAAGGATGAGCTGCAGACACGCAATGAAATCGAGCGTAAACGTTTATTGTTCGACGTGGCTAAATTTCAGTTTCTGCACCCTAATTTTAATTTCGAATCGACCTCATAAAAATAATAACGGCGCACCTTTTGCCATTCCATATAATTCGTATGCTAAATAAAATAACATACTTTTGGTATATTTTTGTTCAAAAGAACATTGAGCTAGTTTCGTATTCGATTGTTAGCAGTAATCGAAACACTTGTGCGTGCGGGGCAATAAAACAGCTTGTCTGTGAACATTAGATACGACTTCGTCTTTTTGTTTGTTTGTTTTTGTGTCAGTCAGATTTAATAGTATTTAATATGGCTGATAAAAAGCAACTAATTCAGCTGGATGATGACCTATCAAGCGACGACGACGATGATATTAAAATTCGGAAATTAAAAGTCCTAGAAGGTACAGAAGACCCTTCTTCAAGCCACCGACAGCCAATTGGTGAAACGGGGAATTCCCAACGTACGGAAGACGTCCTACCCTTAACTTTGGACACAGATTTCGAGTCTGAAGCTCCGCCCACAAACGTATGTAAGCATAAACTATCGCGATGGAGTGACTCATATATTTTATATTAATTCTAAAGGGAACCATTGGCTATGATGCGGGCAATATCAGTGCTAATGGAAATGCAAATAGAAATGCAAGTTCCGAACCCATTTTTCATGTACGCTCGCGTACGGCAGCATCGTTAGCTGGAGTTTTGCAACAAGAGCAAACCCAATATGAGGTAATATATATTAATTATTAATTTTATCAGCTTAAATCAGTTAACCTGATCCAATTTTCCATAAAAATTTTCGTAAAGAGCCTGGACTATGATGTGTGTGAGAATAAGCTCTTTCAAGATGAGCAGCTGAGCCGGTTAAGGGATCGATTCTCGCTGCGCACCCACTTCATACGCTGGATTATATTTATACTAATCGGCATTATAACTGCTGTAATTGCGTGCACCATTGATATTATCATCGAGGAGCTCTCGGAATTGAAGTACAACTTCCTCAAGTCATGTATGTGAACAGCGCTCGGTTATATTGAATCATCTAACTATATTTTCGTTTAGCTGTGGACGATAATGTGACTGTGAATGAAAGCGGAGGCGATCTCGCTCTGCCCTATTTATGGTGGCTACTGCTCAGTGCTGTGCCCGTGTCCATTGGTGCCGGAATGGTCACCTACATTGAACCCATTACCGCCGGCAGTGGCATACCCCAAGTCAAGAGCTATTTGAATGGCGTGAAGATACCTCGAATTGTACGAATCAAGACGCTGGCCGTAAAGTCTATCGGAGTCATTACTTCTGTGGTGGGCGGTCTGGCTGGTGGCAAGGAGGGACCGATGATACACGCTGGCGCTGTTGTAGCCGCAGGCATATCCCAGGGCAAGAGCACCACATTTGTCAAGGACTTTCACATCTTTAAGGCCTTTCGCGATGACCACGAGAAGCGAGACTTTGTGCTGGGCGGCGCTGCGGCGGGCGTCTCGGCTGCTTTCGGTGCACCCATCGGCGGCATGCTCTTCTCACTGGAAGAGGCGGCCAGCTTCTGGAATCAGAATCTCATTTGGCGCACTCTCATCGCCTCCATCATCAGTTCATTCACACTAAACATTGTGCTCTCTGCCTATCATGGTGTGGGCGATTTAACATTTACGGGTCTCTTCAATTTGGGCAAGTTCGATCATCCGCTAACATTTGAGTATTTCGAGCTGCCGCTGTTCATGCTGCTGGGCGTGATGGGCGGTCTAATGGGAGCTGCCTGGAACTTTTTGAATACACAAATCAACAAATTTCGCAAACGCTTTGTGCCCTGGCGAGCTGGCAAAGTGTGTGAAGCTGTGCTGGTTGCCATATTGGGCGTAACCTTGGCCTGCATCATGATTTACTACATAAACGACTGCCGTCCTCTGGGCAATGATCCCACCATACATCCTGTGCAGCTCTTCTGCGAGGATAACGAATATAATGCCGTGGCGGCGCTCTGGTTCCAAACGCCAGAGGCTACAGTACGTGCGCTTTTCCACGACCCACCAGGTGAGCTGATCCGATCGATTTTCAATGTATTAGCTAATATTCTTATTTTCTTTCAGGCTCTCATAAAATCCTTACACTGGCTGTTTTCACAATTATCTATTACTTTTTATCGTGCTTCACATTTGGGCTGAATGTGTCCTTGGGTGTGTTTATACCCACGGCTCTGGTGGGCGCTGCTTGGGGTCGTCTTGTGGCCATGCTGCTCTTCTATTTATTCCCTGAAACGGTAAGTTATGTCTTGCCTGATTTTAATGCCGAATCGATATATGAATATTCTGCAGGAATTTCTGCATCCCGGCAAATACGCTCTCATTGGAGCCGCTGCCAACTTAGGTGGCGTTCTGCGCATGACCATCAGCCTGTCCGTTATTCTGATGGAAACGACGGGCGTGGAGACGTCCTTCTTCTTTCCACTGATCATAGCGCTCATTAGCGCCAAATGGGTGGGCGACTACTTCAATGATGGCATCTACGACACTATCATCGAGGTGAATCATGTGCCCATGCTTCCCTGGGAACCACTGCCCCAATACATGGGATTAACTGCCCAAGCGATCCTTAGCAAGCCGGTCGTCTGCATCAAATTGCGCGATCGTGCACATTACATCTATGAAGTGCTCCATAAATGCAATCACAATGGATTTCCTGTTGTAGATGATGTTGAGGGCGTAAGTTATTGTAAACCTCAATGGTTAGTTAGATCTTAGATCAAATCCAATTTATGTTGCCTTTCAGGATCGTCGCTCTGAGGGACGTGTTTGTGGCATTATATTGAGGTCACAACTAATTGTCATCTTGCTCAAGTCGCTCTACGTGGAGAATCAGCGGTTCTGGCAGCAAGAGACAACAATACAAACATTCCGAGATGTTTATCCCCGATACCCTTCCATTAAAGTAAGCAGCTTTAACTACATATCTATTGATCTCTTATTAAAAGTAATTTGGAATGTATTTCAATCTTTTAGAGTGTAAGCCCCTTGGATCGAAAATATAATTATACGGTTGATCTGTCCATGTTTATGAATCCATCTCCCGTGCGCGTCAATACGGTCCGTACCCTTTATCTATAAAGTTTTATATGTAGTTATTCAATTTAATATATTATCTTATTTACAGTATGATTCGGTGCCCAGAATATTCAATATCTTTCGGGCCCTGGGCCTGCGCCATCTGCTAGTAATCAACAATGAGAACCGTATTGAAGGCATTATTACGCGTCGTGATTTCATATATAAATAATTGCGATATAAACCATTATCGGTTTTAAGTGTACATCACACAAGTTTTTAATATGTAGCGAATTTAAGTGTAAAGTGTAACTATGTAAAGATTATACACATTTTTTAAATTTGTAAGTGATAACCTTTTATATACCTTTAATAAATAGTATTAGTACAACGTATTATCACTAACCATAGTGGTATTGTGCACAAGTGTGTATGTGTATCCGTGAGTTGCAAGTGCAAGTGCTCCACGTCAACATTGAGGGCGTTTACTTGTACATGTGTATGTGTAATTCGAATGCTAGAGGAGACGTGCTTGTATGAGCTTGAGTAAAAGCAAGATTATGTTATACGTGTGTGTGTATGTTCGCTTACCACATGAAGAGCAACTTCTTTTAGAGATGTGCGGCCTTAAGCTACACATGTATGTGTGGCTGCAAAAATTCCACACTCCCACTCTCTTTTAGTTTTCGATAAAAAATATCGATTCTTACTAATTGCCGCCCATTTCAAATCAATAGGCTAATGTAATTTTTCACTTCTTGTATATTTTTGTTTTGTTTGTTTTTTTTTTTTTTTAATTATCTCATCAGATTTTTACAACTTATGTTATGCTTAGAAATTAGGTGTATAATCAATAGTATTCACAAGGAATTGTACAAGGTTCGTTTTGTATAAAAATACATTAAATTTTTGTGTAAAATTAAAAGTTCTGTTTGTTTTCATAAAATGGCTTAAAAGCTAAACAGACGTTGATATCAATTTAATTTGCACGAACAAACGTCACTTTTCCCCACAATCATTTAACAATTAAAAATTGCATATTAAGAGTTAATTTTTAACATGCTCTCAGAGGGCTTGTGTGAGTTTAGATTGCTTATCGACTACAAACGCTGCCATTATAATTATTGTAAAACTAACACTAAACGCTACTCAAGATGTTGTAGTATGTAATATATAATTATTATTGTTATTATGATTATTATTAGGAGCAATACTACGCCTAGATTTTATATGACTTTTTGTACAAAGTGAAAAATAGCTTTGTGTGCCGATTTTCTTTCTGTGTTTTGGGGATTTTTCATACAATTCAGTTTCGGTTTTAGTTGGATTTCTAGTGTCGGCCAAGCATCGTCTGCAACTGCTATCACAGTTTAGTTTAAACAAACACTGGCGTACAGTGAAGCCAGCCTATGGTGTAAAAGGAGCAGCGACTTCACATGTAGGCTGCATTGGGCCAGCTGGCGATGGGAACCGGTGCAACTGCAACTGCAACTGGAGGTTAGCTTTCCATTGGACGAACTTGTTGCAGTGTTGTCTCCGCATTGCCCGCTGTGGCAGCGGCTGCTGCTGCTGCTGCGGCGCTGTTGCAATGTTGTTGCGATGTTGCTGTTGTTGTTGTTGCTGCAGCTGCTGTTGACGATGTTTTCGTTAAGCTTACGGTCAAAATGTTGCTGCTGCTACTGCTGGCATTGTTAACAGCCGGTGTGACTGTGACTGCAGCAGCAACTGTTGCTGCTGTTGGGGCAGCTTGAGCTGTCGCCGCCACTGTTGATATTGCTGTCGCTGGTGCTAGTCCCGCAGCAACAGTTGTTGTCACACCGCTGCTGGGCTGCAACACCTTGTAGCGCGTATAGATGCGATAGGGCGTCTTTGTCGTATCCTTTTGCTGCAGCGACTTCGTTTTGCTGGTGGCACCCCAGCCGCTGGCATTAATCTGTTCGGGCGTCTTGCCCAGCAGCCAGTCATTGCAATGCTGCTGCAGCTGTTCGCTAACATGTTGCTGCAGCCATCTATTGACGTAGCTCTGGAAACGCGAGTACTTGGCCTGTGTGACGCGGCAATGACTCTGAAAATGTGAACACAAACAGTTAGACTCAATCAGATCAATTAATATTCTCATGTGACCTACCTTCTTGGCACGACGCACTGCATCGTATTTGAGTAAATTGAGATTCTTGCTGGTCACAAAACAGCGGCCGTTGCTCGTAT